TAATTTTTGTATTTTTACTAGAGATGGGGTTTCACCATGTTGGCCAGGCTGGTCTCCAACTCCTGACCTCAAGTGATCCACCCGCCTCGGCCTCCCAAAGTGCTAGGGTTACAAGCGTGAGCCACAATACCCAACCTAAAAAAAGTTTTAGACTACATAGACTTGAAAAAAAATGTAATTACCTGATTATAAAACATCATAAAAAAATTATTCAAACTATTTTTTTTTTTTGAGACAGAGTCTTGCTCCGTTGCCCAGGCTGCAGTGCAGTGGCACTATCTCAGCTCACGGCAACCTGAGCCTCTGGATTCAAGCAATTCTCCTGCCTCAGCCTCCCAAGTAGCTAGAATTACAATTGTGCACCACCACATCCGGCTAATTTTTATATTTTTAGTAGAGATAGAGTTTCACCATGTTGGCCAGGCTGGTCTCAAACCCCTGACCTCAGGTGATCTGCCAGCGTTGGCCTCCCAAAATGCTGGGATTACAGGTGTCAAACTATGTTTAAAGACACAAATGATGAGCTTGAGAATACCTAGAATAGAAAGCTACAGGCTGGCTGCAGTGACTCACACCTGTAATCTCAGCACTTTGGGAGGCCAAGGCAGGCAGATCATCTGAGGTTGGGAGTCTGAGATCAGCCTGATCAACATGGTGAAACCCCGTCTCTACTAAAAATACAAAATTAGCCGGGCATGGTGGCACATGCCTATAATTTCAGCTACTCGGGAGGCTGAGGCAGGAGAATCACTTGAACCCGGGGAGGCAGAGGTTGCAGTGAGCCAAGATCGCACCACTGCACTCCAGCCTGGGCGATAAGAGCAAAACTCCGTCTCAGAAAAAAAAAAAAAAAAAGAAAATTAAAAGTAACATTGCAGATTTGAAAAACATAACAAATCTAGAAATAAAAAGCTTTCATAATCAAAATTTAAAACTTGACGTATGGAAGGAACCATCCCTGGAGGGGTTCAGCAGCATATAAAACACAGCTGAAGGGGGCGTTTATGAACTGGAAGGCAGATGAGAAGAAATTGCACAGAATGCAGCACAGAGATGCAATGATGAGAATACGGAGAAGAGATCAAGAGACATGGAAGACAGACTGAGAAGTTCTATCCAGAATCACTGTCCCAAAAAGAGAGGAAAACACAGGCAACATCTGATGCAATAGTGGCTAAGAATTTCTAGAACTGGTAAAAGACGCCAAGCCGCAGGTTTAAAAAATTAAGTAGGCCGGGCGCGGTGGCTCAAGCCTGTAATCCCAGCACTTTGGGAGGCCGAGGCGGGTGGATCACGAGGTCAAGAGATCGAGACCATCCTGGTCAACATGGTGAAACCCCGTCTCTACTAAAAATACAAAAAAAAAATTAGCTGGGCATGGTGGCACGTGCCTGTAATTCCAGCTACTCAGGAGGCTGAGGCAGGAGAATTGCCTGAACCCAGGAGGCGGAGGTTGCGGTGAGCCGAGATCGCGCCATTGCACTCCAGCCTGGGCAGCAAGAGTGAAACTCCATCTCAAAAAAAAAAAAAAAAAAAAAAAAAAATTAAGTAATTCCAAAGAGATGAAAAAGAACGTATACACACACACCACTGAAAACTTCAGAAGATCAAAAAGAATGATCTTTAAAGTGGCCCAAGCTGGGCTGGGAGAGAGGCAGAAGCGGTCACCGACAGCAAAGTTCCCAACAGCGAGGAGGCCAGAGGACACTGGGTTGGCATATCCAGAGGGATGAAAGAAAACAAATGCCAGTCTGGAGCCACGTGCCTGTGGAAAACAGCCTTCCAGAATGAGAGTGAAATAAGGAAGTGAGGAGGTGGTCACCAGTAGACCTCTACTGCAGGAAATGAATGAAGATAGGTTTGCAACATTGTCCCAAACGGAACATCGGACAGAAGAGAGTGAAGAGCAGAGAAAGTGGCCATAAAATAATAATCCTGGTGAGACTGTTTAAAATATAGAACGAACACACATCACAACAAGATGTAAGTGACTGAGGGAACAAACAGAGTCACAGGAGCCTCCGAGGCTGCCCAGTCTCCTGGCAGGTCAGGACACTGCCCTTGGAGCTGGCGAGTTAGACCCACTGCGCTGCAGCCGCACTCACACAAAGACGGCTGGGCTATGCGGCTTCTGAGCTCCTGGAGGAGGGAATGCTGGATAAACCCGCCCCGTTCAAATGAAGGCAAGAAAGGAGAGGAAGGGGGACCCAGGGAGGAGAACGGAGGGTGTGGCTGTGAGCCGGCCGTGGGGGAAGCAGGCCTGCGGAGACAGGGCAGCAAGCAGGTATGCTGAGACCCGCGCCCCCACGCCCCTCCAGCCACCATCGGGGCTCACTGGGGAAGCCCCCCACTTACGGGAGGGAATTCTTGATCCCCACGGTAACTAAGAGTGGTGTCCTGAACTTAGACCAAACGACAGCACGTCCCACAACATACTTAACTAACACAATGGGGTGAGGATGACACAAACCACAGTTTTGTTACAGAATAAAGTGTGCTGTGACCAGAGACAGGGAGAGGCCTCACTCCAGACCTTTACCCATGACCACCAGCGGGGTGGGGTCCTGGACTCCTAATTCCTTTGGAAGCAGAGACATCAGGGGACACACAGGAACTGACTCCTGTGAGGGCTCCCTCCATCCCCTCACTCACACCAGCAGCGGCTTTGTCAGAGCAGACGCTCGAGCCCAACCCCCCACCTCAAGGCACAACTCCAGGAAGCCCACCAAGGAAAGCCACGTTCACAGCCCTGGGCTTGGGTGGACACAGGATGGACACTGCAGTGATGACCCCCAAAGTGCCCTCCGACCCGATGAACAGCTGCTTCAGGTCATAGCCCGTGTTGTCCTTCCTCAGGGAGGTCAGGCAGTCCAGGACTGTGCCATCAGCCAGCACCTAGGGGACAAGAGAAGCACGTTCACCCACCTGCTAGCCTGCTGACGAGACCTCGGTCGTCTCTGGGGCCAGGAGTCACGTCTGCAACAGGCTGAGGTCATGCCAAGAGGCTGAAGGATGGACTTTTCTCCTGCAGGAGTGAGACCCCCTCCACACACAGGAGTTCACTGCCCAAAGCAGGGGCACACCTGCCATGGGGCAGTGGGGAGACTCCCTGGGGGTGGAGCATGGAGAACGCAGAGAACCGCCCGGCCCAGGACCCATCACCTCCGGACCCCCAGCCACAAAGCATCAAAGCTCCTGGGCTGCAGGCCTCTCCAAGTCCTGAGTGCTGGTACTATGAGTCGGAGGCTTATGCAGCTCCTGAGTGCAAGAAAGTAATTTACAATACAGATAATCAGTGGCTGACCAGAAAAAAAGCTCCTGGGACGTCATAATTCACTGGATGAAAGCAAAGCATGGTTTTGCGTTTGCCTCGTCCACCTGGGTAAACAGGACGGAGCACTCTGACCATGACACTCAGCTGGTGAGGGTGCGGGGAAACAGAGGGGCCCTGGAGGAACAGCAGGCAATGGAAGAACACGAAGCTGACCCTGGGTGAGTCTTCCTTCATGCCTGGCTCCCGGAAGCCTGCTGCTGCTGGGGCAGGTCCCCCCGTAACTGCATCCCCTACGTGGGTGCATAATCACCGTGGAAGAGCAGGGCAGGGCCAGGCCTCCCTCAGGGTGGGGGGCTGTGTACCCTCACGTCCCTGAGGGGCCCAGGGCCAGGAACCAAGACCGCCCACCCCCTGAGGAGCCCCATTCACCTCCGCCACCACCTGGGCCCACGAGGGCCGTCACAGGACACCCCGTGGCAAGCTCTGCACCCAGCTGCTGCCCCAGCTCACCGCTTCCAGGCCTAGCACAGTCCCACGCAGTGAGCCATATCGAAGAAGCCGCAGGCCCCCGGCGTTGGTGGCCACGTTTCCCCCGATGTGGCAGCTGCCCTTGGCCCCTAAGTCCAGCGGCATGATGAAGTCCTGCTCCTCCACATACCGGCTCAGCTCCTCCAGGACGCAGCCCGCCTGGCAAACCAGAATTCCTGCAGAGCGCGACCAAGCTGTCAAGGCACCCCCGAGCTGGTGGGTCCCACCCCCGCCGTCCTGCACACACAAGGCACCCAGACAGCACATCAGCCTCAGCTCCAGGGCCGAGAAGAGGCGCCCCCACATCGCTGGGCCAAGGAGAAACCAGACCTAAAGGGACCTTCATGATTACAGGGACACAAAAGGAAAACGGGTTAGGTGAAGAGACAGAAAAACTTCCCACACCCACATGCTCAGGGACAGGAGTGGAAGAGCGGAGCCTGCTGTGAAGCTTCTCAGCTGGGGCTGATCCTGCCCCAGGGCACGTGGGACAATGTCTGCTGACATTCTGGGTCGAGGGTGCTGCGGGCACCGGGTAGGCGGTGGCCAGGGATGCTGCTCCACACCCTACAGTGTCAGGGGCCTGACCACAGAGAGTGACCGGCACCTGGAGCCTGGCCTTGCAGCAGAGCCCCAGGGCAGGACCCTGGTGACCCAGGTCTGCCATGCCACAGCAGCACAGGATCCCCTCATGCCTGCCACTCTCTGCACCACACACGCTCCAGAGTGGCTAGAGCCGGAAGGGACGGGAGCAACAATCCTCAGCATCTGTCATCCAAGTGATCCCACGGCAGGCACGACTGGAGGACTGGGGGAGTGGGGCTGGCGCCCAGGCTACAGACTCTGGTTCTTTCCCCAGCCCCACCCGACTCATTTGCCCACCCAAGCACAGCACAGTTGCAGAAACTGGCAAGGAAAAACTCTGGCCAGCACCCCAACGGACAGCACAGGCTTACCGGACACGCTGTGGAAGCTGAGGACCCGGTTCATGAGGGCAGTGGAGAGGATGATCTCGTCAAAGACGGGGACGCTGCCACCCACCATGCCTGTGTTGCCCCCCTGTGGGTTCACAGCCAGGTTCCTCTCGTGGCAGTGCCTGGAATGAGGACATGAGGAGCGTCAGGGCTCTGTCCCCACCCCCACGCCACCGTCCACAAGGACATGTTATAGGACCAGTGCCTGACCCCAAATCCTGATCACCCTGCATGGCCCACAGCCTCAGCGGGGGCTCACACGAGGGATTCTGAGGAAAGAGAGATGCCAACCCGAAAGCCGTGATGGGAGATGGAGCGGAGGCCCTCATGGAGGAGATACAGGCCCTCATGGAGGAGATGGAGGCCCTAGTGGAGGAGATATAGGTCCTCACGGAGGCCCTCATGAAGGAGATGGAGGCTCTAATGGAGGAGAGGGAGGCCCTCAGGGAGGAGAGGGAGGCCCTCGTGGAGG